GTTGTACCTGACTCCCCAGGATCCTGACATAATAGAGATACCTATCAGCTTTCTCAGGGCATTCAGGATAGGCATGACTCCTCTAGGCTCCAGATAGGCATGACACGGCCAAACACTAGAATAATCAGCTGTCTCAGGGTATGCATGATAGGCTTAGCTCTCCTAAGCTCGAGCCCATTCAAATGACCAGTAACTGCCTCAGAGAATTCCCCTGGTAAGTGGAAAGAGCTTACCTACAATGTAATGGACAAAGATTGCTTAGAAGGTGTAAATTAAAAGATAAAGCTTACTGCTAACCAAATCTGCTTCTATATATCGCTTGCTCAACTGCTTATGTGATTCTGTAACTCCCCATTGTCGCCATTGTTCTCATTCTTGTCAAAAACTGATTGTATTGTTCCCCATTTGCCGAAAGCGCATTGTGAAGGTATAAAGATCTCCTTCCAACTCTGTTCAAGCACCGCATTCTAACCATGAATGTTGGTCCCTGCTGCAGGAATAAATCTGGGCAGATTTTTGAAAAATGAATGTATAACTGGGGTGGAAGGAATATGAGTGAAAGGGAGATGGGAGAGAATAGACTGGCCCTACCTGGATGGGGAGGCTTTCTACTTGAACCCCATTTCTGCTGCTGTCGGCTGCAAGCTTCCGATACACTCGATTAGTGAGCGGTAGCACGGAGAAACCCAAAGGTTTGGGGTTGCTTTCCAGATTTCCTGGTGCTGCAGGGTTGGAAAAGGAAAATAAGCATCACAAACGGAGGCCAAGATCTGTGTCCCCAGCTTGGGAGACTTGAAAGATGGCCCCTGCCTCCCCAACCGCTGCCAAAGAGAAGGGCGCACTTGCTCTGTAGTATTCGAGCACCAGGGCAGTGTCGTCGGAGAAAGCGGTCGCTCCATCCCTTCCTTGAAACAAGAACGAGGTGTTCCAGGTTGGCTGCTCAGGGGGACCTCCAGCTGGGGAAACCTGAAGAAGAGACAGGGCAGGCTCAGCCTTGCTTTTAGAGTATTCTTTTTATTCCTTTTCCCGTTCTAGCTTTGCACTGTTCACTGCTCTAGAACCTGCTTAGAAATAGAGGAGTGTACAAATACGACAAATAAATATCGGAACGTTTTCAGGCATCCCTAGTTTTTCCTACCGCACCTGTGTGAGGCTTTGGAGAGGTCACAGCAACAGAGAGCTCCCCTTCTCAGGCAAATATTGACAGAGAAACCCCTTTTGATTATTCTAATTTATTTAATGGAACCATTATTCGGCGACCGAGCGCACCCTCATGCAGTGCAGGGTGGTGGGGGAAGCATTTTGCAGACCCGCCTCCGGCTTAGCTGCATATTGTTCTCACGAAATCCAAAGGCTCACATGGAAACAGCTGCCCGGATGCATGGCATTTGCACAGCATCTGTGCATGCGTTGATCTAGGACCCTTCCCGGCTACTCTGCAAAATTCCCACACTGGAACATCTGTAGATGCTTTCGCATGGAAGAGCAGAAATCATTGGAAGGCTGTATGGACTTTTCTGTGTTCAGTTCAAAGAGTTAAGCTTTTTTGTGAGCTTTTCTTCTTCGGAGGGACACTTTAGGACCCCTCTGAAGGTACAAGCAAAGAATGGCTGGGTTCCACCCTCCCCCGTGCCTTTTGGGGACCATTTCTGGAGGAAATGCTTCTGGCAGGAAAGGCTAAAGGAATTGTCCTTCTGGGGATCTCTGTGGATCTCCCATGCTGGCTGTTCACCCTGCTTTCTGCTTTCGGGAGATCCTCATGACCTGAAGGACCATGGTTGGAGCGAGCTTTCGCCTTCCCCCTCCACTGTTAACGCTGTGACCTGCCCACCGGAGTGGCACCTTTTCATCTGCCTGCATTTGCATGCTTTGAACTGCAAGGCTGGCAGGAGCTGGGACGGAGCAACGGGAGCTCACCCCGCTGTGCAGGTTCGAACCGGCGACCTTTCGATCAACCAGCCCAGCAGCACAGCGGTTTAGACCACTGTGCCACCTGCAGTCCCTAAGGTGGCCACGCTTGCATCCGATTTTACAGAGGACAGTCCTCTGTTTGAAGCCATGTTTTGTTAGAAGGCAATCCAGTCTTCCTTTCACGTAAAGAATGATAAGAAGGGAAAACAAATTTTTTGATGTTGCCTGTTGAGATAGAAGGAATTAAATCTGCTCCTGACAACCAGTCCCTAAATGCTTCGGGTAGGAAGCTTGCGTTGGCCTTGCTGTTCGGCTGAAGGTGAATCTGGAGGCATAGTCCACGGACAAGTGACTGTCTCGGGATGCCGAGAGGATCAAGGACGATTAGCCAACACAGATATTTGCACAAAGAAAGACATTCACCTCCAGAACCAGAGCAATTACCTTCCCCATGACTACCCCTTGGTAGAGCCGCATTGAGTCTCTTGGGTCCATTGAGTATGGACACGGTTTTGCATACAAGAAACACCAACAATGAAGGAGTCAGTAAGGATTTAAGCCTTTATATTTTAAGGTATCCTCATGGGAGGCAGGCCTCTTCCACTCCATCATCCATGCATTCATGGAATCTGATTTATTTTTTAATAGAATCTCATTTTGAACTTGGCTCATGCAGACAGGTTAAAATTTCACTCCAGTTCATTTTTTAAAATAGCCATCTACTTTCATTCTCAAATTACTTCGTATCTGGGAGAGAAATAGCATAAGGTTGTAAAACGCAGAATACAGAGGAAGCGAAACTGCCAGATTTCCCCTTCCCTAGCTTTTTGCTTTAATGGGAAGTCTGTGGAATAGAGATATCTAGGTGAAGGTTCTTGTCAGAAACGAGGTCTTAGATCTGTGAACAAGCAACGGACAGTTCATGGCAAAATGAATTTTTATGGTCAAGGTCAAGCACCAGGCAAGTGAAGGAGGGAGGGGGGCATAATGATCAACCTGGGAGGCAGAAAACCTCAAATGCTTTTGCTAAAGCTGAGGAGCGTTGATGACAATGGCTAACGGTGACATTAGCCAAGGAAAATGGCTTAAAGCAGAATCCCTGAAGCGGAATCCTCTGTGGAATCATGCATGGTTCAGAAGGGGCCATCCTGACCTGACTCAATAATTTAAGACTCAATAATTTGAAGCATGTGTATTCAACTTTGTGAGCAGAATTAAGGTGAGCACAACTGCAATTTGACAGTTCCCAGACCATTTCAGTTATTGGGCCACCAAAGGAGTAAAACCTTTCCAGAGAAGCAGTGATGTTAGCTTGTTGCAGTGAAAACCACCAAGAATCTCAACAACCCAGGATCTCAGTGTCTCACAAACAAGAATAACTCATTTATTTGGGCATGAGCTTTCATGCCTACTGTCCATGTATGAAGTATTAACCTGTGGCGTTAATATATACACATGTTGGCAGTCAAGACAAGATGCAAGCAGTACTGTCAAAGGAAATGAAATGCAAGAAACGCAGACAGTGACAATTCTCCAATCACTGAATATACTTTTGTACTAAAGAAATATTTGCTTTTATGAATGCCATGTGCAGCCTTCCAAAGGGTTAAAGAAAAAGAAAGAAAAAAATAAAAGGATGCAGGGGGGAAAGAAGAGGGGAGAGAATACCAGGCAGCTGAATTCCCTTTGCGGATTAATTTGTAATTCAATTGCTAAATGCAACCCTGGTGCCTCGTAAGTGTGATTTATGGTATGTAAAACAAACCACTTGAGTGGGGGGTCGACACATTCCCATTTGCTGTTTCTGCAGCTCCGTGTCAAGGCAAAGACCCCCTTTCTGCCTCCCCTCTCTGCCTCCAAGGTTAAAGAAGAGAAGCATCTTCGGAAACTCCTTCAAGGTGAGAGTTTCAACCCCCATTCATAATTTTCCTGATCCAGAAGAGAAAATGAAGACGTCGCTTGCCTTGTCCCAGGGCTGCAATCAGGGCGGACCCACCTTCATGAAGAACAGCAGACTCGGGTCTCTGGGAGGCCCTTGGGTTGATTCTTGAGGGGTCCCGGAGGCAGAGGAGCAGGTGGGGGCAAGACTAGAGCTTACAGCAGCACCAGGAGTCTGCAGAACAGGAAGGGGATGCCCAGAACATCCCAAGGCAGAGTGTGCCGGCTACTGGGGCAGGGGGCAGAAAACTGTCAGGAAGGAAGACTGCAAAAGCAAGACGTGGGCAGCATTTTGCTGTAGGCCTCACTTGTCAGACCTTTGCTGAGGAAGGGGGGGCTTCCTCCAGCTCTTTCTTGTTTTTTTGGGGCGGGGGGTGAGGGAGACGAGCCAGCCAACATCTCCTTTCCTTTTGAATAGCGGGCATCAGTCCTGGGCACGACCTGAAAAGGCACCCATAGCCATCAAAAGCAGACATTGCTTGGCATAATGTTTGCAAATGCTAAAAATGCTCACAGATGCTTGCATTTGATGGACATCTTCAAGCCCGTCTAGGAGAATAAACCACAACGGGTGACCTTTGGAAGCTTTAAACAGTCATAAAACCAGAGTGAAAACCACCAGCAGGTAAAGAGCTAAAAGCACGTGTAGTGCAGTCAAAAGCAGCACTGAAGGACACAAAAACCTGGGGAAATGGAAGGACTTTATCCAGGGCTGAAAAGGCTGCCATGTTCGTGCCCGGTGCCACCACTGAAAAGGCCGTCTTTTTGGTGGACACCCACTCCTCCTCCATCTGGTGGCTGCCCAGAGACGGACCTGTAATGTCGATCTCTTGCATCCCTGAGAAATGTCGGTTCCCCAGGACAGGAGAGACCGTTCCTCTGTCGAACTGTTCAAATTCTCTCCCAAAGTGATGCTGAAATTGGCTTCCTTGCCATTCGCGCCACTGTCTTCACTCGCTCATCATCCAACCTGCTATTTCAGCTATCTGCATGTTAGCAAAGAGGATCCAAGGTTGTACGTAGACAACCTGGCCTAGAGATGACATCGGAAATCCACTCAGGGGCTGAGATGCAAGGGAGCACCAAGATGTAGACAAGCTGACGATGGTCCAGAGGAGGGCGGCAAGGACGGTCCAGGGACTGGCGACAAAGCCTTGTGAGGAGACATTGAGAGAACGGGGCATGTATGGTCTTGAGAAGGGAAGGCTGAGGGGAGGTGTGACAGCCCTCTGCAAGGACCTGAAAGGCTGTTACAAAGAGGAAGAAGGACGGGATCTTTCCTCGACCAGCCCAGAGTGCAGGACACAGACTATCAGGGTCAAGCTGCAGGAAGCCACGTTCTGGCTAGAACAATCCTGCCTGCTACAGAAGTGGGAAAATGGGACCCATGACCGAGGGAAGTGGGCGGCTCTCCCACACTGGAGACGTCCAGAAGGAGGCTGGACAGCATCTGAGAGGGAGGGTGCAGACCGATGCCCGGCAACAGCAGGGGGTGGACTCGATGGCCTCCGTGGCCCCTTCCAACTCTTCTGTGAGTCTGTGACGGACGATGCCTCCCATCCACCAGGCCACGCTGCCTTCCCCAAAACCCTTCCACAAAACCAACACTGTGTTGGGTTTTTAACAAAACTAACAGGAGGCGTGTGCGGCGAGAGCAGAGGGGACGGCATTTTCCCGGCCCAGCTGGTTCTGCTGAATCATTTATAACCCCGTATCCGACTTCTGCATCCCATTTGCCAATGCCAGCTGGCAATATGCCTCGCCAGGGAGCCGTCGGCTGCACTGGGATGAAATCACGGTTTATAGGACCTGGCTCCAGTGTTTTCCTCTTTAGGCTAACATTTCACTCCGGCAGCCCATCCTCTTCGCACCCCCTCCTCCCAGAGGGGAGACACCACTTAAGCTGTGTGAACAGACCGGAATTAATTTTGGGCGGTGCTCTTTCATCTCGGCAGGAAGGGATGCGAGGGATAAAGCAGATATTCCTGGAGCATCTTGGGATGGGCTTTGGAGGAGCTGTAGATGTGTAAATTTACTGCGTGGACACGGGCGACAGCTGTCCCTAAAGCACAGGACTAGCAGGGAAGGAGCGTGGGACGGAGATCAACCCCCCCCCCCCCGGAGCATTATCCTGCTATGCATCTCTTGGGGCTGCAGGGAGAGGGCTCCGAGCGATGGGGTCACTTCTTTGAGGAAGATAAATGCCGAAGAAGAGTGTGCATTGCCTGCTACCAGGTTCTAGGGACCCCTGGGCTCACAGCGGGCCCCTCTCCCTGAATGTTCCTCCTCATCTTGCTTGTTCAAATTGCCACCTGTCTCTCGCTTCCTGCCCCATCCAGTCAACTGGGAAGACACATGGGCTTCATGACCGACTTGGCCGCTGGCTTAACTGGGGTGGGCAGTGAGCAGGAGCAACAGCCAGGAGGGCAGGGTGGTTTTGCTCACATCACAGGCTAGAAATGCCTGCGATGCGCACCCGCCTGCCCAAAAAGCCTGCGGATCATCAGGCGCGCTCGGTTTCGTCTCATCCCCGGTCCCAAGGGCAGTTCTGCCTCAATGGGCACCCATTTCCCTGGTAGGATAAGCCAGCCCTGCTTTCACCCTGGGGCCACGCCTTTGGGGGAAGCAGTGCAAACCCTGGGAATCAGCTCCACAAGTTCCACTGGCGCAGAGCCGGCAGCAATGCCTGCGGGAACCAGAGTCAGGTCGGATAGTCGAGGGGGAGGCGGCAGCTGGAGAATCCTGGCAAACTTTAGCACTGCTCATTTGCCCCTCCCCTAAGGGCAAAAAGCCTCGAGATCCTGAGGAACCAGGTCTCCTGCTCCCTGAAGGGATCCTTTTAATGGGAGATGTCACGGATGGAACTTGGGATTCCTGCAGGTGAAGCTGAAGCAGCGATCCTGGACTGAAGCACCTTCGGATGCATTTGGAATTCTCCTTGTCCAGCAGCCAAACCTGGCTGGTGTTTTTGCCTCCCGAGGTCATCAGGTGTAACTGTGCTACCTTTTGGAACTGCTTCACCACGAGACGCAACTGCCTGCTTCACTTCCACTCCAATCCTGTCCTTTAATTAGCACCCTTTAAATAAATTATTTGATAATTATGGGGACGGAGGGCAGGAAGAGAAGCAACTAACCAAGAAGGTACTGTCAGCTGGAAGCAGATAATATTTTGATGAGAGTTGGACATTTGGACGAGGCTTTCTTCAAGTCTTTCGCAATCAATCTAGTTATCAATACGATGGCATTTTATTTGCCTGGATATATTTGCAGTATCGCTATTATTTGCTTGTCTTGGTTGATTTAGATGGGCTGGGGAGGCGAGAAGGGAAATCATGGGGAAAGCATTGCATTTGGAATGTTAAAATGTTAGAGTGCAGCCTTAATGATCAGCGAGATGTAAGATTTAAGTTTTCTTCATGCCCCTGAGAATGAACTGTGGCAGTTCTTGGATGTCAGTGCAGTCGGCAAGGATTGCTTTTATTTATTTAAAACATTTTTATGCCGCCCCCATCGCAACAAAGCCTCGGGGTGGCTCACAACAAGAACAAAATATACAAATATAACAAATTATACAATAAAAATATTAAAACCCGGTGCATCTCGGCTTAAAAGATTTAAAATCCTATAAATACCAATAAATTAACAATTAAAATAAGTTTTAAATAAAAAGGTCTTCACCTGGCCCAAAAAACAAATGACGACGGCGCCAGGCGGACCTCTCTGGGGAGCGCATTCCATAGATTGGACGCCACTGCAGAGAAAGCCCTCCGAGTACCTACCCTCCTAATTTCCTTCACGGAGGGTACCCGGGTTTGAGCAAAACAGCTTAGGATCAGGGCTCGAATTTCAGAGATGAAACCTGAACATTATTTCAAAGCAATCCGACAAGTCCAAGAAGCATCAGTCAAGACTAGCAAGTAGCAAGGAGAATGGGGAAAGGTCATTTCAGCAAGACACATCGTCCGTTTCATACAAACCAATTCAAGGTGTTGGTTATGACCTATAAAGCCCTAAACGGCTTGGGTCCTGGTTACCTGAAGGAGCGCTTACATCCTTATATGCCCAGCCGCCCCCCTGAGATCGGCGGGAGAGGCCCTTCTCCGGGAGCCCTCCATGGAAGAAGTTAGGAGGGTGGTTACTCGGAGGAGGGCTTTCTCAGCGGTGGCGCCTAAGTTATGGAATGCGCTCCCCAGAGAGGTCCGCCTGGCGCCGTCGTTATTTGTTTTTCGGCGCCAGGCGAAGACCTTTTTATTTAAGCAGTATTTTAAATGTTAATATTATTGAATTTTATTTGGCCAGGGCGGCTTGTTTTATAGTGTATATTTGTATTTTATTGTATATATTTTAAAATGTTATTTTAAATTTTTTGTTGTAAGCCGCCCCGAGGCTTCGGCGAATGGGGCGGCATAAAAATGTTTTAATAAAATAAAATAAATAAATAAAAAAGTAGGTGAGAATTGTGATATACAAATTGGTTCGGCTGCACTGCTTGCAAAATAGCCTGAGATGACGGCATCCCAGAGACCTTAAGACGCTGAATGACATGATGCACACGAGCAGCCATCAACAGCAGGAAGTAATAAAACGTGAGGTTGTGCGTGCAGCTGTCTGGGGCATGTGGAAGCAAAGCTGCTGACTTTCCAAGGATGCCGGCAGGATGCAAAGGGAAGTCGGAAGGGCTGCAGTGGTTTGCACGAGGAAGATCTCAGGAGGATCCCGGAAGGGGGTGGATTGACTCCCTTAAATTTGCCAGTCTGAAGCGTTTTTTTAGGGGGGGAGGGTTAAAATCAAGTTACGCAGTACAACCACCCCTCAGAGTAAAATTGCTCCCCTTTGGACGCGTGCTTGCGAATACTCCGAGTTACTCAACCGGCTCTTTTCTCTCCCCCACCGAGCGCGTCAAGCAGTGCTTTGTACCTGTGGGTGGCCGTGGTTCATGACTTGTGGGACGTCAAAATCTTCCATCGTTGGGTCTGGGAAGTTGATGACTGTCGTGGGGACGTGCGGGGCACTGAGCGGCCGAGCCCTCATCTCTCGCCTTTGGGGAGAAAAGCAATTCCCAGAGTCATTTGCACCCACAGCCTCAGAAGTAGATTGCAGAGTTACGGTTCAGTCCCGAGCGGGTTTCCCCAGAAGCAAATCCCATTGTATTCAGTGGGGCTTGTCCCTTAGTAAAAGTGCTCCGTTAAGCCTTGCAACGCAATCTTAGAACACAGAGGTCCGCCTGGCGCCGTCGTTATTTGCTTTTCGGCGCCAGGCTAATACCTTTTTATTTAAACAATATTTTAGTAATTTTTAATATCATCTATAGGTTTTTAATTTGCATCCAGGGTGAATCTGGATTTTAGGTGCACTATTTGTATTGTGTTTATTTATTGTGTGTCAGCCGTCCTGAGGCTCGTGCGAATGGGACGGCATACAGAAATTCCAAATAAATAAAATAAAATCTGAGATGCATTTACTCAGAAGTGAGCCTCCTTGAGTTCACCTAATGAGCGAGGGAAACCCTCTGGCGTGCATTTCCCAATACAAGGTGGAAATGGGGCCCAGTTTCTGGCATTTCTCGCCAGACAGTAAAGATTTGGGATGTGAGATAAATAGGGTAGCTGGGAAAAAGTGACTAGCGTCTCTGCAAAGACAGAATTTCTCGGGAAATTTTGTTTTCCCTGAAAATAGGTTGCTAACAGGCAGCTTTTAAACAAACTTAAAAAATAAGTCATGTTGAGATTTTTCATGTTGGAAAACGCAGCTGCTTGATTGAAATCTTTCTTATTCATTTCTTTGAGTTATGTCCCTTTTTTTTTCTTACGACCTCAGAGGGACTTACAGAATTCTTCTGCTGCTCTCAATTTTATCCCCACCACAACAACCCTGTGAGGAAGGCTGGGCCGTGAGTCTGTGACTGGCCCCAAAGTCACCCAGTTGGGTCCATGGCTGAGCGGGGACTAGAACCCAGATCTCCTGAGTCCCAGTCCCGGTGCTCTTAACCGCTATACCGCACTGTCTCTCTATACTTGAATTCTATTGCAGGGTCCCAGAACGAGGCTAAGAAAATAAATAAACAAACCAAATTGACCTGCTAAGGGTGAACTCCACCCTCTGAGAAGCTGCTGGGAAATTTCTCTGGAGAAATCCAGTGAAATCCACACTCACATTTCTCTGCCCAAAAACAAGGCACAGAATTTCGAGAGACCGTCTGCATGCAGCCTGGAGAACTTTTCTGCAGAACAGGGACAATAAGTCCTTTCAGGAAATGGTGAGTAACTCAGACTGTGAGTCACCAGAGCTGCTTTTCTCCTGCTCATCTTCCCCTGTGCCAGTCCTACTCACATGTAAGCCCCGAGGTTGTTCACAATTCGACCAACAGCTACGATGTTGCCATCAGAACGAGCTAAGGGCTCATTGATTCCTTTAAGGAAAACCTGGAATCGGAAAGAGGAAGAAAACATGTGGAGGAAACTCAGCCACATTCTGTGCCTCCCCCACAAAAAAATAGTATCTTGGACATTTTAATATCTCAAAATTACTTTCTGGCTCTCCAAAGAACCATCCAAATGAAAACTCTGCAGTGCCGCTGCATCTAAACTTCTTTGTGCCTGCATCCCTTCAGATTCAAAATATATTAGGAATATGTCACCACAAATGGAGAAGACATTTGTTTAGTTTGTCTTTTCATGCAAATTTACCTAATTCGTTTTTCCCAGCCGAAGAACTCTGAAATGTCAGTGTACTGTGATATTTGCACTTTCCTGAATTTTGTGATGCCATTCTCCAATTAAATCAAGAAAAATGCACGAAACAGGGAATTGTGCACATGAAAAAGTGACTGTTCGTGGAAAGAATGCACAAAACAAAATGCTTTATACTTGGAACATTGCCTGCAAAAATGCATATATTAGAGCGCACATAGTTATATCAGGCCAAATGAATTAAGTTCTTTTCTAAGGGGTATTACCATTTCCAGTGGCACAACAGGATGCCCTTTATTTTACCCACCAAAGATCCAGCCTATTTCTGTTCCATGTCATGTCTTTCCCAGAAACTATGTATTTTCATACAGTCTGCATTATTCCATGTATTTCCCCCAAAACAGGGATTTTTCTATGCATTTTTTGAGCTGAGAACTGCATTGGAAAATTCAATAAAAACCAATCACTACATTCCCATTAGTCTGGAAACTGCAAATTTGGCCAGCATAGCCCATGGCGAAGAACGATGGGCACTGTAGTCTACAAACACTGAGAATGCCATGGGGGTCCCATCCCTTCGGTAAGACTCAGGTAAAACCTTCAAATCAGCAGAATAAAGCAGAAAACGAATTGCAGAATTGCTTGCTTTGTTTTGCTTACTGGAAACCGCAACATGGCCCCAAAGGGAAGTTATCTGGATCTAAGACAACAAATGACCCTTCGTGCTGTAAACAGATCAGCTGGAAAGACCTTTTCCTGCCCTTCCTGTCTCTTCTGCAAAACCAAAACCCCCAAGGTTGCTCTTCGGCAGAGGGAGGAATGGTGCCTGGGAAGGGCTATGCCTCCCACCCCCTCTTAATCAATCCCACGCTGGGATTAAAAATGCTTTTCATCGGGGACCATTGTCATTTGCTGAATGTAAATATGGAAACAAGGCAGCCAAGATCGATTCCTGCCTGGGGACCCTCCGGGACACGAGCCTGCCCACCCGCCCCCATCCGAGGCGTAGCCCAGGGAAGATCTGGGCCATCCACCAAGCATCCCTCCTCTCGCCACAGCTGCCGGCAATGCAAATAGCCCTCTCCATTGTCAGACAAGCTCTCAGACCGACAGGAGGGAAGGCAGGGGCCTTGGAACGCCAAGGGGCTGCTCATCTTCTTTCCAGGAAGGGTGGAAAGATTTTAGTCCAAATCCCCATCATCAATTCCATCAACTGGCAGCACATCAGTAACCATTTCCAGTCCTTGTTTTGCTTTCTTGCTTGCCACCTGCAGAGGGCGGGTTGGACTACACCGAGAGAGAAACGGTGGGTGGATGTGAGAATTGCTAGGATCCGTCATTTTCCAGGTGGTTCTCAGAAGAAAACAGTGGGCTTCATAAGGACAAATAGCTGGGTTTATACGAAATCGGCTGGAATGGGATTTTAATATATTCATCTGTGCTAAATGATTAATAGGCATTTATATTAAAGTCTCTCCCACCTGCTCTGTCAAACATATATTCATCCTTCCATACGGGCGAAATGGATTAGGCAGAAACATCACCGTGGCCCAAAGCTGGAGAGAGATCCAGCGGATGAAATTGTGGGTCCTACACCAGGGTTTTCCTGCCCGTTTTCACCAGCACAGACTCCATTGATGCTTGGAATCGAGTTTGATCATGCGCAGATATTCAGTTTCCCGGCACTGAGCTCAACCTGTCCCCTTTCCACTTTAACATGCCTCTCCTCCCTGCAAAAGTCCACTTGAACATTCAAAGGCATTCTGCACCTCTTAATTCATAATGAATGTTTATAATTCACCACTGATTTCCGTACGAGCTTTTCCTAATGCTGAATATTGTGCCAGTGACTTCTCCTGAAATAACGCATGACACGAAACATTTTGCACGTACCACCCGTAGCACATGCCCCTTTCGTGTCTGCCTTTTCCTATTATGCCTGCTGTTCTGATTTGCAAACTACATCGCAAAATTTAGGAAAGTGTGAATATCACCGTGTGACTGCAGTCTGGAATGTGTGGGTTTGCGAAATGCAAATTTGCGGAGTTTGCATAAAATGTGAAAGGAACAAAACTCCTGCCCACCCCGAGCCAGCATCCTGAGTTGCAAACCAGCTTGTTCCCTCCATGTTCTCCCAAAGACCAAAGACCACGCTCAATCCCCTGACAAGCATTCCCATGAGAGCCCATCAGGAAGTGAGTCCATGTGTCCAGGAGTGGAAGGACGTTGCAAAGCCTTCTAATATGTGGTGAGATGTCTGGGATGAAGGTCCTCAAGAAGATGGGAAGGTTGCTGCAGAGCCTCACTGGAGAGAACATTCCAGGACTGGGGTCACTGCTGAGAAGACCCTATTCCATGTTGCCGTCCTCCAAACTTTCCTTGGAGGAACCAATGGAGAAGGGCTTTCTAGGTCAGTCGGCATCAGTATGTTCATACAGGTGGAGGTGCTTTCCAAGGACTAAAGGACAACTAACGTGCACCCATGTCTGTGCAGGAAGGGACCTCTCTCCATCCAAGTCCTCCTCCCTTCTTCAAGTGGCTTTTCCCTAAAACAGGGAAAGGCCTTATTTTGGCACGGAAACCCAGAGAGATACAGGAGGTACCAGGCATGCTGGAGCAGGGGACAGCTGATGCATCAACATTATCTTTGGGGAAGGTACCCATGAAGGTCCTTGAGCCCAATCTGGCTCACCCTGCTCGGGTCCTGAGATGGAAGCCAGGGCATGGGATCAAAGTTCTTTGCACCACAAAGAGAGGGGAAGGCAGGGGCCAGAATTGTGCCCACCCACCCTCATCTCGGTAAAATATCAATTTATGACGGGGACATGACCTGGCGGGAGAAAATGTTATTGCCCTCCATGGCACCACAGTTCCAGACCAAGTCATGCCCAACCGTGGCTTAGAAGTTGGCTCCTAATCAAAGGTCTTCCACCTCACGGCTTCTTCGACTCTTGACCCGCATCAGCATCCATTTCCTGTGACTGAGGTTCCCAACTACATGCTCCAATACTTGAACCGCACAGGATATTTAAGGTTCCATTTGGAAGCCAGGAAGTCCTTCCTGACGGTTAGGACCCCTGGGGCATGGAATGGGCTTCCACGGAAGGTGGTTGAGGCCCCATCGGTGCAGGTGTTCAAGGACAGGCTGGACATGCACATGTCGTGAGTGGGGCCGGCTGGAGCCGGGGGTCAGACTAGATGGCCCGGGAGACCCCTTCTGACCTGCTCTGTTTCTCTGTTTCTATATTCACCAACCCACCAACGAGACGTTGCTGCCTAAAGCTTGTACCCCCAGCCTGGTGGCTCATTCCACACACGTTCCGTCAAGCTGATTTGGAAAAGCAGGCATGCCCCTCACCTCCAGGCCCGTGTACTGGACTCCAGCATACCGTGGGATCAGGCTGCCTTTACGAGTGATGGTTGCGTACAGCTTGGTTCCTACTGGGTCCTTCTTCCGAGGCTGTTTGGGGAAGAAGCAAGCAGCTCAGTGAAATGGGAGAGGGGAGCAGAGAGCTCTCACCAGGCCATAAACCAAGGCGTTTGATGTTTATAAACAGTCTGGATTGCCTTGCGGTGGCCCCAGGCAGCCATAACGGGCTGGGAAGCAAGAATGGATCTTTGACACTCACCGTTCCCTTGGGAGATTTGTCAAGAAAGATCAATAGCATTCATCTTCTGTGTTTGGCATTTAAATATTTCACAACACAGAAAGATCTGTTACCAGTCTCTTGATGAAAAGTAAATAACCTTTGCTTCAGCGGAGAAATTGGATTGGGTTCTCAAGTGCTTATGTAGGGGGAAGGCAAGGGGGGGACGTGTCAACCATAAGCAACATGGTTAGCGATCCAGTCATGCCCTCGCCTTGCACACATCTTCCGGAAAATAATACTTTCACTATTTCATTATTATTTATTTTAATACTATTTATTTATCTATCAAAGAATTTGTTCATTATTATTTTATTCATTTATTATTTTATTAATAATAAAATAACGTATTATTTTAATAATAATAACACAAGCACAATACTTGGTTTGGTCCCAGATCTGGTGGTTCCAAACAGCCCGGTCTTGCCAGGAGTTTTTCTGCTCCGCTGTTCACGAAGCCAGAGGAAACACAACGGGACAGCGGTGGATGATGGGATGTGGAGCAGAAAGTGCCGAAGGTGCCACCCATGCTTTGTGCTCGGGTTGTGAGCTGTGGGATCGTGGTTAGCAAGCCAGGCTTTGCCAGCGCAGGCCAGTGAGTCAAGTCAAGTCGTCTCCATTTCACCAACATGATGCTGCCGTTAATGCCAGGCTACCTGGGAGTCCACAATCCTTGCGCATCTTTCACAGATCGCCTTGAGATCTGCCAGGAGCTCCTGCCCTCCCTTCCTTTCACCCCGACTCTGGGGCACCCATAAACTTGGGGCGAGCCTTTGGGATGGCCAGCAAATCGGCTCAATAAATGCACAGAGCAACAAGGCAAGCTAATGTTAGGGCTGGAGGCATCTGGCAGACAGACTTCCTCTGTGCTTTCATGAGACCACTAATCATTATTATCTCATCAATACAAGCACTCTCCTTTTAAAAAAGAAAGAAAAGAAATCCCATTCATTGTGGAAATAAAGGTCAGATTCCCCCTTTTCTTTTTAATTCAGGCATGCAGGCAAAGGAAGCCTGTAGTTCTTATAATATTCTGCACTGCATGAAACCGTCCACTGAAAATAGGTAATTTTTCTTTCTTTCTTAGCACACCTGCACCGTGGGGTTGATTCACAGAGGGATGTGGGTATCAGCAAAGAAAAAACAAAACGTATTTTCAGGTTTCCACCTCTAAGCTCGCTTAAGCCCATATGAAATTGCAAGCTCTGCTTTTTCACTTTGCTCGAAAACTTCTGCGCATTTCCCCATGCATTTTACACACATCCGTTGTGCAGAGTTTTGAAATGTGCACACTCTTTCCTATTGATTGGCATTCCAGGTTTATATGAACCTAGCAAAGACAGACGGTACCTCTGAGATGACTGTGTTGTCTTGCAGGTATTCATCATGTCGGTGTTTGCTTATAATGAGCTGACCCAGTGGTGCAGTTGGGTTCTTTTAGGCTCTGGATTAAATGGTATTATTTGGCTTACTCTCTTTCGTGAAGCCCTGGTTGTCTACCTCGTGTTCTACTCTGATGGTATTACTGAGATGACCAGAAAGAAAGCCTCTCGCAACTTGAGATACCCATTTATCTCAGGGTAAGATTTTGGGGACCAGGGAGCAAATGAGAATTCTTCCCAGCTTTACAAGTCTTCAGAAGCATTGATATAGAAGGTTTCCTTCAGCACATTTCTGTAACTTGTACGGCTTTGAAAATCTGAACACTTTTTCCATCAAGGATTATCACAGTTACATAAAAGCTTTCCTTCACCTGACCTTAGTGAAAACTTCAACAAAACTTTTCTTGTGTAATACAGTGGCTGTTCATAAGCCTGGATTTAGGACACGGAATCAAAATATGTAAAGCCAGAATGACGTAAACTTCTTGGAAGAAATTCCCTCATCGTGCACCCTGGATGTAGGCCCTGATTAATATCCTGTCTTTCTACCCCCTAATGAGACCTTCCAAGATCATGGTGGAAACAAAACACCATCTTGAAGATCTTAAGAGCAGTGACCGAAAAGCAACATATTAGAGCAAATATGGGCCAGATGCTTGGACTGTTCTGAGATATTGTTTGAGTTCTCTTAACTCTCAGCCGTAACATTGTGTATTGTTATATATTGTTGTGTATTGTGTATACAGTTGTGCATTGTGTATACTGTTGCTCTCTGGTTGTTATATTATGTATATTATTTATTTATTTATTATATCCTGCCTTTTTCCTACCAAGGGCTCAAGGCAGCTGACATCATTCTCTTCCTCCATCTTATCCCCACAACAACAACCCTGTGAGGTAGGCTGGGCTGAGCGTCTGCGACTGGCCCAAAGTCACCCAGTTGGCTCCATGGCTGAGCGGGGACTCGAACCCAGATCCTCTGAGTCCCAGTCCCGTGCTCTAACCACTGCACCATACTGGTTCTCCATTATTGCCTTTTTGTTGTTAGCTTGCTGGTATACGTGATTTTATTTTGTTGTTTCATTGTTACCTTGTAACCTGTTTAGAGAGTCCTGAGGAATATAAGTTTGATAGATAAATAAAATAAATATCACCTAAGCCAGGAAAAGGCAATCTGGAACGCTCAGGATGTTTTGGATTATAACTCCCACCATCCTGTCGGCGATCCTGACTGGGGTTTCTAGGAATTGGAGTCCAAAGCATCTGGAAGACACCAGGCTGCCTGCGGCCCCTGCCCCATCCCGAAGCAAGTCGGAACGGTACCAGACGATCCGTGTCTGTGAGTCACAGTCCCCTTTGGGTGCCATCACTAAGGAGGCCGTTTGCCGTGCCACAGATGGTGCAGGGGTGCAAAACAGGATACCCCCAACCAAGACGTATCGCTCTTCTCACGGGGGAGGAGATGGTTCTTTAAATCCCAAAAGCCCCGGGCACCGACCTGGACTCTGAAAGGACGGTGGCACTTGCCTCTTCCGAACCCTGGATCGGCTCATAGCTCCTGGGCCAGAGCGGTGTGTCGGCGAGGCTGAGCCGGGACGAAGCGGTCACGCAGCAAGGGTATAGCTTACCAGGATCAAGGCACAGTGATATTGGTGGAACGGGCGCAGGTACTTCACGGGGATGCTGTACTTTGCTAAGACTTCCTTGGAGTCTTTGTCGGCTACGAATAGCGACATAACTGGCAAGAGAAGGAGAGAAGGAAAGACCCGAGTGTTTACAAGAAGGGTGCTGGAGGGCCTGTGGTGACTGGTTCAGAAGGCCCTCGATGAGGAATCCCCCACTAGTATTTTTCTCCAGAGCAATCCGATGGGGAGGCACTCTAATTCTGATCAGAAGAGGGAAGCGCAGGAACAGAACTTGATTTTTCCCTCTCTGTGCCATGTCCCCAACCTAAATATATTCTGCACCAAGAGCTCAAAGCTACTAGCCCTACAGAGGAGGGGAAATGCACATACCTGCATCATGCATGATTGTCTTCCTGCTCTGGAGATTCCCCCCCACCTCCAGTGGGGTCATGAACTGCTTTTAGCGATTGCAGTGGAAGCTGAATTCGATCTGGAAGATGGGCACCCCTTGGGACCTTCTTCCCCTGACTCCACCCCAGTCAAAATCGCAGTTCCATCCCTAGCACGACTGATTTAAAGTAAAAAACCCCAACCTCAAAAACATGCTGAGGGATCTGATCGCACGACTTTGGAATGGCCTGAAGTTTGGGTCTGAGAAAGCTAATTAGAATCCTGGCTTGTTTTTCTCCATCCTTCTCATCCTTGCTGTGTCTGTCTAAGCTTAACACCCATTTCCCCCTTTCTATATAGACAGAATTTGGAAAGAGACCTTAGGCAATCAACATCCAAATTAAAAGGGTCCACTTGGGATCTAAAAGTTGATTAACTCCTCATGTGCAAACACCTCCCTTTAATCGAAGTGGATGACTTTCCCAGGCAGATGAGACAGAAATCAGTACTATCAATTCAAGACGGATGGTCTGATGACCTACAGAGCTGAGTGAAAGATCTCTCCACAGCAGGTTTGCTAGTAATAGCACAATTATTAGCAGTGCAGGGAGATGAATCACTACATCTTTGTTTATTCTTTACCTTTCATACAGGCTGTCGCAGTTCCCGTTTGCCCTCAAGGCGGCCCTGGGCAAAGAATTTGGACAGGGCAATTTGTGGAACTTCATGGCAGAACAGGAATTTGGGCCTGAGTCTTCCCCATCTACAGCCAACCCCAGTGACCCGCAGGTTGTGCCCACAGGGGGCTGCCTTTGAGGACACCTTGGAAGGTGCAGGTTGCGCACAGACGGATAACGTGGCTAGAAGATCTGTCATTATCATGATTGTTGGTTAAGGGCAACGCGTTGCATTTCGTCCATAGCATTCCATCCCCTTGCAAGGATATCAAGGCAGCTTAGAAGATTCTTCGTCTTATCCATGTTATCCTCACAACAGTAACCCTGTGAGGTAGGCTACTGTGAGACAGACCCAACATCGCCCAGGGAGCTTCATGAGGACTAGAACCCAGATTGGCTGAGTTGCAATCCACCACTGCACTACAAAGGCTCTCCATATGAGTTCTGGTCTAATCCCTTTTGTGGGAGCGACCCTCCTCCCATCGGCTAATGCTAAACCTGTTCTAAATTTACCTAGTGCCAGGCAAGAGTTATGTCTCTCCAACCCACCTGCATTTTTCTCCCAAGGGGGCCACTGTTCGCAGACTCACAGGGGTCCCTCGGGAACGTAGATCACACATCTGTTCACATCTTTGAAATGTGCTCATTCTTCACCCATCGATTAAAGCATGTTTGTGCTCCTTTTTCAAAAGGACAATATTTTTAATTGCACGTTTTAAAGATACACATGCTGTCAAAGGCCATTTTTTCCTGGTCTACCAATCACAGTTGTGAGCTCTGAAACTTACAGTCTTAAACCACATGTGGTGTCCAATTCCATGCTCAGCCTGGAAGGTGTGAACAGGGTAAATTCTGATCAAAACCTAACCAAAACAAAATTATCAGATTTCCTAGACAAAGGGATGCAGCATGCTGGGAGATCAAGGAACGAAAGGCGGGAGGCAGGTCCTTTAATCCACTTGCTTTTTCCAAGCAGTTGGAAAAGGCAGTCAATTTTGTCTTTAGGTGGCTTGTGAAGGGAGAGAGAGCAAAAAACGAGTCTCAAAAGAGGGCAGGTTCACAAAACTCATTTCCCACACGTTGTTGCTGGGAAGGTCCCATGCGTCTAAACTGAAATGCAAAACCCACATGATTAAAAATAGCTTTATTCTTAGCTTCACTTGTGAATGTGTCCTCAGAAGCGTTGGTTCCTGGGGAAGACCAACACGTCCTTCAAGGGATCGGTTGCTGTCCCTGGTGCTGAACTGTAATTCGCTATTTGGAGGGAAAGAGAGCAGAGTGATAAATCTTGCCCTCTTGATGCTGCTGCTGCTGCTGCTGATGATGATGATATCAAAGTGGCTCCATTTTTACCCCACTTCTTCTTTTTTTTTTTTTTGGCAACTGTTGCAAATCCAGCATATTCATTCCTCTCTGGTCCTGTAGCCAAAGTTGCCTTGGCCAGGGCGTTAACCTTTTTCCCAGTCGAGCAGTAGCTAAGGACACTATCAGAGTATGTACTGCTGCCATGCGAAGTCATCTCTGAAGTTCAGAATCCCGCACCATGAACATTAGAACTAAAGCATTTGGGAGCTAGAAGAAACCTTAGAGATCATCTAGTCCACCCCCCGTGCACAATGCAGGCTCTGTCTGAGCATTCCTAACTCAGCGCCACCCAGACATTGCTCTCCAGAGGAGGAGAGACCATCACCTCCTGGAGCAGCTTGTTCTACAGTCAAAGAGCAATTACCATTAAAAAGTCTCTCCTAGCACAAAAGGATTGAGGCCTTTGCATTGTGGTGCTGGAGGAGACTCCTGCGAGTCCCTTGGACCACAAGGCAATCAAACCGGTCAGTCCTGGAGGAGATCAACCCTGACTGCTCTTTAGAAGGCCAGATACTGAAGATGGAACTCAAGGCCACTGAATGAGAAGGAAGGACTCCCTGGAGAAGAGCCTGATGCTGGGGACAATAGATGGCAAAAGAAGAAGGGGATGGCAGAGGATGAGGTGGCTGGATGGAGTCACTGAAGCAGTTGGTGTGGGCTTGAGTGGACTCCGGGGGATGGTGGAGGACAGGAGGGCCTGGAGGAATGTTGTCCATGGGGTCGCGATGGGTCGAACACGACTTCGCGACTAACAACAACAACAAAGCCACATAATAGCCTGATTCCGAACTTCCAGAATGGAAACTGTGACCTGCCTTGAATGCTTTGGCAGAAGGGCAGGATATACACATAGCAAGCTACTGAAAGAATGGATGATTTTCTTTCTGTGGGTTCGAAACGCACAGAACAGGCAAGGTCTTTCTGAACTGCTTGTCTCGCCAACCTGAAATGAAGCCAAGCCTCCCCCATCAAGAACCGTTCCGTAGTAGCCTTGAAAATCTGAGCTGCGCCATTAGGTTGACGGCTGCATGAGCAGGAACAGAAAACTTAAAAGTAGGGATGGAAGAAAAATTCTCTGTCCAGAGGGTTTTTAAAAAATGTTGGCCCAAAGATCCAATTTTCATCTCCGGAGTCTTTCAGGAAGAGCAAACTGGAAGTGTTTTCAAAAGCCACATTTTTTCCAAGACTTCCAGGGCAGCTTATCTTGGGGGGGGGGGGGGGGGGAAACCACACAATGTTGTGCCTATTAGAAAGGACTTTGCAACGGCAGCAACAAAATGAGAAAAGCACGCATGAAGCCGTATTTCAGCAACATAAAGCGCTTGAGGGAATTGGGTTCTTTTAAAGCAGCGCACAAGAAGAGAACATGAAAACATCTCTTACAAAAAATGCACACACAGGAAAGTATGGCTGCTTTTTTTTAAATGAACAAATTGCCAACTCACATGGAAACGGGGTGAAATGAGCTTGGCCTCGAAAAGACGATGGATAAAGAGACCAAACTGGCCTGCTGTTGTTCCTGCCTGAAGCATCTTGAACTTCGAAGGCCCAAATCCCCTTCAGACAAGCTCTTGGGGGGGTGCATTCTAGGGGTGTCTTGGCTAAAGTCTTGGGGTGCAAACACCCACCCCTTTCAGCTTCCAGTGCTCACCATCAGTGAAGAAGCCTCGGCAAAGGCATTGCAGCTGTTTAGAATGGGAAACCAGACCACACAAATCCAGGAAGGTCCTAAATGCTTGTGGCTGGGGGAACCATGGCCTTCTGGGGACCCCTCGTGTGCCAGATTAGGGCCCTGGAGGGCTGGATGGGGCCCCCAAGCGCGGGCCTCCCCACCCTTGCTGCTAAACTCAGCTCGGAGAGCACCAGTGCTGCAATTCCACCCCCTTTGCCGAGCAGCCCTGCTAAGCTCAGGCGGCGATTCCGACTGACCTCATTAGGAAGTCCAGAGCAAGGAAAAAGCTCTTGCTTTGTGCTGCGAGGGCGTCTCTAGGTTGCAAGTGTGTCTCATTATCCCCCCCTTAGGGCTGTCCCTCCCTTTCCGTTATCCTTTGTACCTCAAGTCGCTTGGACCAGAGAGAAAGCCCAGCTCCTGGGCGTGGGGAGCAGAGCCACATTCCCCTCCTCATTATCAGAGACTTGCTTTCCGCCTGACCCCATGGAGGGCTGCGGGGGGATCACCACAGCAACCGCGGCGGAATCAACGCCCGGAAAGGACAGCCAGGCCGCCCTCGAACCAGCTCCAACACACGTGCTCTCTCCCACCTCCCGCCTCCCTGAAGGCAATAAAACTGAAGCTGCTCCATGACTCGGTCGCACTCCGGGATATCTCGGCAGCGTTGGCTGCCCACCACGAATATTGCAGCGTTGCCGCAGAAGAAATTAATGAACTGCAGCTCGGCCCGTTGCTGAGCCTTTTCCTTTTCCTCTCCTTGGAGAAGCGGCCTTCTCCATGCAGCAGAGTCGTTTAACCCCTCCCTTGCTGGCACTGAAATGAGTTCATGGGGAGGGCTTGTCCACTGTTCTGGAGGGCCGTTTTAGAACCAAGACGTGGCAGGCAAACTAATTGCAGTTAATTAGGCATTTGGGGAAACAGTGGGGGTGTTTGGTACCCCTTGCAGATTGTCTCAGGAGGTGGTGGGCTCTGTTTCAGCAAACGATGGGGAGCATCAAACAGGAACGCTTCAGCTGCATCCCGCAGGGTAGAGCCTGAGCTGAGCTAGAGCTGAGCAAGATGATTTCCAAGGTCCCTTGCAACTCTCTGCAGTTTTATGACTGAGGTAAAGCCCCAAAAAGGAGTCTTTGAGGCATCATTAAAAAAAAAAAAAAAAAAAGATAGTTTGGGTTTAGGCTGCCCTGAAATGGCTTGCTTGGTTTCAGCCTCCTTAGGGATGAATGGGGAAATTACTAGCATTCATCTTTTATCTGGGATCCGCACACTTTGCAGCTTCCAGACCAAGCAGAGACGGCTGCAATCAGTGGTCAGAGTCCATCCTTTTCCAGCTTGGAGTATGATTTGTCAACAGCACTGGACAGAAGGATAGTCTGCCAAGCCATTTTGATCTGCTAGATACAGTCCCAGAGCGTAGAATTTGAGGTCTATAGGTCAAACCCAGAGGCCTCAGTCCAACCTTCCTGAGGTGTCAGAGAGTCCTACCATCATTATCTGGGGTTAAGCCCCACGGAACTCATGTGGGATTCATTCCTGCTCAGACTTGTTTCAGACGCAGTTAAAAATGCTACTGCATGTGGCTTCATAAACAATGATCAAAGACAGAAATTGGAAGGGGCAGAAACAGTTAAAGGTCTAACAAAGCATTGTTTGGGTAAATGCATTTTTAAAACTCAGTCGCTAATTTATATACCGCAACCTATAAAGCTTTGAGAGAACCTACATGATCTTCTGTATTTCCACTTAGCAGCGTTGATTAGAATTGATTAGAACCAGAGAGCATTTTCCTATAAAATCATCCTTAAATCTGTCATTAGCAGTAGCCTTTCCATTCCTGTGAGATTTTTGCTATTGTGCTAATGTATTCATTCATTTCTTTAAAGTGTTTTATTCTACTCCTCAGCCCAACTTCTCCTAGAGTGGCTTAATCCAGACTCAGGAAAACAAGACCGATCCTGCCTGTAGCCTTGCAGTCTCAAAGAACACAACATGCCCGGAAAGAGGAATAGCAGGGACGGAAGCAAAGAAAACGCACGCTTGAAGGCAAGGCCACATTGGGATTCAGATAAAGCCAAGCACTGCAAGGCTAGCTTTAATGGAGCCTTCCAGACCTTGCAGCCTTGCAAGGTCCTGAATAACTAGTGAGTAAACATCTCTTTCTTTAGTGTGATCACAGGCTGAAGCCTCCCTGAAATAGCCTCACATCACTTCACCTCACGATTGACTCCAAAGCAGCCTTTGGGCACACTCAAAAATCTCGTCCGAAACGGCCCTAAAACAATGGACCGAAGTAGCTAAATAAAGTCAGAGAGGGAGACAAAGAAGCTGTCACACCGTCTACTCTCACCGCGCCCAGCCGCCAAATCCTGGCTTGTGTAAATGAACGGCTCCTCCAAATTTGATTTAACCAATTAAGGAGCTGACCCTGAAAGAATACAGACCCTGCCTTTCTCAATCATCCCTGGTTAAGATAGGTAGAGAAGTGCATCAAACGCTGCTTTATTTCACTTAAGCAACGGCTGTAATGGAATTACATGGAGTGCCATGACTAGTTCCTGCCAGCGTCATTTTGCCAGACTCAGATGCTAATCGAATTGCAAACTCTAATGTCATTAGCATTATCATGATTACCTACACAACATCGCTTAGCTTGCAACAATAAAGATCAAGTCACAGGGCAAATGGGCCCTGCCTTGGGAAAAACGTCTGGATTATCAACAATCATTTCCCCATCAGGTGGGCAATGGAACTGGAAGGAAGGTGCCCAGGGAGCGGAAGTGGAAGAAGCAATTTCCGACATCAGACCTGCACAGGAATATTTCTTGCATTTCTTGGTACCCAAAGACTCTAACCTTTGCTTTCAAAGAAAAAGATGTTTCTACCTAGGAACGGGGGAATTATTAATGTGGTTTGCACTGTGATGTAAACAGAACTCATTTCAGTGTTGAACGAATATGAGAACCAAACTCAAAGCACAATCCTGCAGGATCAATGGCTGAACGGCAGAAGACTTTGAGATAGTTTTCTGAGAGAGAAGCCTGGAGGTCCATTGCCTACTCTTCCTGAACTCTTCTGAGGTCAGAACCTGGGCCTTCCCATGAGGGCTGGAAGGTCTAGGTGGGTCTGAGGGGGCTGTGACCCTGCTTGGGTTTCCCAGGTCCTTGTTTATGTATGTCCCAGGCCGGTGGCCCTCAGCATTCTTCAGTCCTTGAGCCTCCACTTAAGGGCTACAGACCTGCTGCCTCGGTTTTTCCTGCAAAACGGCACGTCTCCAAATTGTTCTCCAATCCAACGTCTGCACAAAATTCATGGATCAGTAAAAAGTGCAGGTACCAGTATGTACAGAAATGCATCATACTGCAACAGTATCCTGCAACTTGAAGGGCTGACCCATTCTCCAGCAACTAAAATTTTGGAAGAAGGCACCCCGAAGGCAAGGGAGCGCAGCGGACTAGTTTCAGGCAGCGGGGGCTGAATCACCGTGGGCCGGAGATCCTTTTTGCTGCCCGATTGTGCTATTCGTTAAATAGAACGAAACCCCTAAACAGTTTACATGCAGCCGTAAAAATGAATTGCAATTCCATTCGACTGCACTATTCAAAGCAGTTTCAGTTACGAGAATACAGAGCAATAGCAGGCAGTAAAAGTTAGAGCAGCAGGATTAACTTAAATGCGGTTATATAAGCCAGGGCGAACAAGCGCATGTTCGGGAAGTGTTTCAAAGATGCTGCATTCTGTCTCCTGAACTGCAACGAGGAGGGATTTCCAAAAGTGGAAGCCGTATCGAGGAGGGTTTCATCCAAGTATTGCATGGAGACATTCCAGTATTCATCACCGGTTAATCAGCGCCTGCTTCTCTTATCCCTATTCGCCAAACAACAGGTGCTCCTCCAGGATGGATTCCTTCGGGGATGCTGAATGGCACCAGGTTCCACAAGTTGGGGGAGTGGAATTCCCACAAGCCACTTTAGACCCAGTGGGAAGAATTTGGCTGTCCTGCTCTATCGAAGCCACCATGTGTCTCCATGTCAGCATGTGGAGAAGTCAGGCACAAGAAGAAGGGTGCGAAGCGGGGACAAGGGGTGTGCCATTCCTAGCGGAATCTCTGGCTAGGAAAAGCAAGGGGTCTCCGTCCGACGCTGCCTCCTTCCAGCGTGCCTCGCCACCGAATCGGAGCTCGGCTTGGCACGCATCTGGCTTTCTCTTAGCACAGACACCTGTGCATGGCAGAGATTCCCACCAAGCCGCTTCTCGTGTCCCCACGTGCGCAGGCATCACACCTCTTTCGGCCTGCGGGCCAGATTCAGTTTTGGAGGCGCTCTTGGGGGGCAGCATGTAAGTGATAAGCCAGGAAGATTGCAAAAGGGGGATCCCAAGGGAAGAGGGACAGGCTAGAATATCGGGACAGTTTAGCTTAATGCTCCTCCTGCTGGTACCTCAGCCTTAGGAGGAGAATTCCCACCATTTAGGATGGGAAACCATGCAAAAATCAGGCAAAAAGAGTGGTTGGCATTTGAAGCAAGCAAAGACCCCAAGAACCAGCAGGCTGCGTACAGCCCAGAGATGACGTTCAACACCCCCCCCTGCAATTCTTTCCGCACCTTCTTCGCCAGCCTTCGCCGACTCAACCTCCACGGTCACCTTCTCCTCCCACACCGGAGAGTGCGTTGGCTCGGCAGTCACGTGCGTCACTGCTTGGGCGGGCTGTTTGCTTTCTTCCTCCGAGGTGGTTTTGCTAGGAAAGGAGATGAGAAGGAAACAGGACATGAGTTCGGGACTGGGACCTCAGCAACGGACAACCCATCACAGATGAACATGGAAGCCACCGGTGCCTTTAGGACGGCAGCAAGGGAACTCTCTCATCTTGAGGGCTGAATTCAGTTTTGGAGAGAGTCCTGGGGCGAGGGGAATTCCAGGGGCGAGCAAAGCCAAAGGCAAGCCAAACCAAGAAACACAAGCATAAACCAGCATAAAGTTCTTATTTCTTATTTATTTATTTAAACCTTTTGTATCCCATCCTATACATAAAAGTATCAGGATGGTCCAACAGCAAAGAAACAGCATCATATCTATAATACAAACCTGACTAAAATAAAAATTAGGTCTTAAAATTGTTGGGGAAACAACAAGGTTTTGGCCTGGCGCCGAAAAGAATAACGTGTTGGTGCCAGGCGCACCTCTCTGGGGAGTGCATTCCATAATCGAGGCGCCACCCCCCCAGTCTCCTTCAAAGAGGGCTCCTGAAGAAGGACCTCCAACCCAGACCTTAAGGGGTGGGCAGGCCCCCAGGGAAGGAGCTGCTCCTTCAGATGCCCAGGTCCTAAGCCATTTAGGGCTTCAGAGGTCCTTACAGGCGAGAACTGACTCGTCAAATGCAGATCTAAGAAACGAGCCTATGGGAACACAGTCTATTTGGCTGCTGCTTCTGACACAGGAAGGATTCTGGTTGTGCAGTCAGGACTTGGTGAGGATTTGTGGACTCCCTCTCAGTTCGTGCCTCCTTGGAAGTCTGGGCCAAGCACCAGACCAGCCCACGAGTGCTCGGAGGGGCGGCTTCGGGGGGAGTTTGTCCCATCCGATCCTACAACTCTAGAGCTCATCCCAAAAGGCAAAAGCAGAGGCAAAAGGGATGGCACATTTTGTCAGGTACCAGATGAGGAGTAAAATTCCCAGTTAGATTAAAATTAAAAGGGAAGGGGCCCACGTAGATCCTACAGAGGACAGAAGCCAAAGTGGACAACGTCAATCCGCAAAGCGTCGTAGTGGCTGATCGCTGAGTGGCTGTCCAGGCAGGTAGCTCTGGTTTCTTCCCAGCAGCAAATGGTTTCTGAGTTGCCAAGGAAACCAAATCAAAACTGGAGAGCAGTCAAGGTATTCAAGTGGCAAAGCTAATAGCTGTATTTGGCGCTCAGAAGCCGCTCTGGAGAAGAACTCAATAAGAAGGTCAAATCACAGTAGAATTGAGGCATTTTTTGTTCCTTACAAAAGGCATTGTTTGGAAAAAATAATTCTGAGGCTCTTCTTTTTCTCTCCTCCCCTCGCTCCCCGAGAAAATAGAAGGCCACTTTGCCAAATTTTCTCCCGATATTTTCTGGTGGCTGCCATCTCCTATCCCATGCCCTGAGAATTGTGGAGGATGCAAGTAGAACATCAGCCTACCAAAACAGACTTGGCTTCCAGTGGCAGTGCCCACTTCCCACAAAAAAGGAAATTCGATATCAGTCATGCAAACATTTCTACTAATGGTGAGTCCCACTCTGGGAAAATTTGGAGAATGTTCTCCTGCCCTACAAGAGAAATTCAGTGAAATTTTCTTCCTGTTATATATGCTCTTAAAACCTGGCACAAAAATTCCTGCTTTCATATGCTTTTTAATGTACATATTTCCCCAAATACGCATATATTCCCATCATCCCCATCAGCAGGACCAATGGTTCAGAGCGAAACATCCAGAAGATCCCAGGCTGAGTCGAGGTTGCTCTCTCCTTCCTGGGAAAACATCTCTATTTTAACCTTCTTAACTTTTTCAGTTTTGGACTCGTATTGATCCAATGAATCGATCCCGTCATTCGCGCTTCACTCTCGGCTCCAGGCTCCCCATCCCCTGGGGCCAGCAGGCATGATGCTCCTTGCAGTCCTGCGCCACAAAGGCCTCCTATTATGCACCAAGTACGCATTTCATCATCGGATATGATGAAAAGGGTAAGCAGCTTCTCCGAGAGGGAGGGGGCAGGTGGGAGTCGGAGGATCACCACCAAGAAGCGTTCAGAGATCACAGCACTCACAATTGCGGGGCTGCCTGCATTTGTAGAAATTAAACATTCCACGATCATCCATGTGTGCTATTTATTTTGATTTTGCAGTCTACCGAAATTACTGTAATGGTGGCAATTACAGCCAGAGGAGATCAGAACTTAAATCTTTCCTCGGAGCAGTTTGTTCGAAGCTATAGACGCATGGCCGGCGTTACAAACGAAAGAGGGGACTGGGAATAAGACACTTGGTCTACCACTTGCAAATATTTCTGGTGGATAAGGCTTGTGCTCATGTCTGAGGGATACACGCACAGCTTTTTGTGAAATGATCATACCTCCCTAGACATGTAACAGGAAGCTTGCTCTCCTTGGGTCAAACTTTGATGGAGAAACTGCCAGACTTACAAAAGACCCTGACCTCCAGCCTTCGAAACCTGATGCCTTCCAGATGTGTTGGAGCAGAATTCCCCACGTAGCTGTCCAGACACATGGATTGCATGCTTCTATTATAGGCCCAGAGTTCGGGCATTTTTATGTCTAAACATGCATCCTCAGCCAAGGAATTGATCAAACCTGCCAAAGTGTGAATAGGAGCAATGGACAAGCAGCCTAACAAAGAGGAACCTTCTATTGATTTTAGATGAATCATAGAATAGGAGAGTCAGAAGGGACCAAGAAGGCCATTCAGTCCAACGCCCTGCTGGTACGAGGCACCAGTTTAACCACCCTACTCAGATAGCTATCTTCTTCTTAAATGTCTCTAGTGTGGAAGTTATAGTCAGAGTGATGGTTTTCCCAGTTCCAATGCGTGGGCTGTGAGAGTTGGACCATAAGGAAGGCTGAGCGCCGAAGAACTGAGGCCTTTGAATTGTGGTGCTGGAAAAGATTCCTGAGAGTCCCTGGGACCGCAAGGCGATCAAACCGGTCAGTCCTAGAGGAGATCAGCCCTGACTGCTCTTTAGAAGGCCAGAAGCTGAAGATGAAACTCAAATACTTTGGTCACCTAATGAGAAGGAAGAACTCCCTGGAGAAGAGCCTGATGCTGGGAACGATTGACGGCATTGGAGAAGGGAAGGGGAGAGGTTGAGGTGGCTGGATGGGGTCACTGGGGTGGTGGGTGTGGGGATGGGTGGACTCCAGGGGATGGTGGACAGGAGAGCCTGGAGGAATGTTGTCCATGGGGTCGCGAGGGGTCAGGCACGACTTTGTGGCTGAACAAACAAAAGCTAACAACAAAACTGAAAGAGCGCACGACCTCTCTTGACAACTGGTTCCACTCTACTTTGCTCCCACAGTCAAGAAGGTCTTCCTTGTGCGTACCCTTCATCTGGTGTTCTCTAGAGGACCCCCCCCCCCCCGTTTCTTATACACCCAGGTGGGAAACCAACTGAGGTGGCCCATCAGCCATCCAAAGCTACCCTTAATATCTCTGATCTTTAAAAAAAAGTTGTTTTTGTTGTTGTTTAGCTGCTGCTTTACCAAATTTAGGGAGCCATCAAGATGTCAAGATGATTTTGATGGTTTTAATGTCTTACATCCTGTTTTATCATCTGCTACCATGCTTTTTATCATGTCTTTGGATAAAATCGAGGTCTTCTGAAGTTTTATAGCGGCACTGATTTTTGACTGCTATTTTTATATTGTGCGTGTCATTTTAATACTGCTTTTTACTGTGCGTTTTCAAACCTCGTAACCTGCTCAGGGAGTCTTCCTGGCTAATGCGGTGCAATAAAAATCCAGTAAATAATAACCAGATAACTCGGTGAGGCAGGCCTGGTTTGCTCATTTCGCACCTCCTTCCAAGCCGGGGGAGAGAACTCATCGCCCATTCTTGGAACGAATCGTCCCCGGTCAGTCAGTCTCTGGAATCCTGAGAATGGCGGAGACGCACCTCCAGCCACCGAGCTGGGCTGTCTTCCTTGCTAAAGGAGACGATACCAGATGGGCACGTGGCAGGACGGACACGAGCGCGTCCTTGAGATTTTCCGGCGGACCTCGCCAGCTGCTGCTTGGGATCGCTCCGCCTTTCAAGCCTTCTTCCGCTGCCTCGCATCCCCCCCCCCCCGAAGACCTGCCCCTCCCTGGCTTCTCTCCACTCCAAGCGATGATCGGCCGATGAAAATTTAATGACCATTTCTTGCAAGCCACTCGATATCACCCGCCCGCCCCTGCCGCCAGCGTCACCCATCGCCGGGATGGCTGTTTTAATGGCGCCCCCTCCCTCGGTGTGTTAATGGGAGGCTTGCTTTAGAAGCTGGGGGAGGGAGGGAGGCGCCCCTGCCACTTCTCTACCCCCCTCCTCTGTCTTCGTTGCTGTGGTAGTGCTTTGCTCTAAAGTATAGCTGTTGGCATTTCATCAAGTAATTGGCCCTTCTGTTCACTCAGGCAGCTTTACCCTCTAGGAAAACGCAACCCACCTGACCACGTGACCCCCCCTTTAATCTTGTCCCCTCCCCCTCAGCTCCGCATCCCCAAAAGAGCTCGCTGGACCACTCACGCATCAATAATGGATGGAAGGATGCCTTCCTGCTCCCTTTGGTCGTGACGGGAGGGCAGGTGACGGTGGAGCCACAGCCACCCAGCCGAAGGAACTCCGGCGTAAGGCCAAGAGGCAGAGCGGCATCCCCAGAGTATGGGAAGGCCCACTCCGCTTTGGATGAGCTGCAGGCGATGATCAATAGGCCTGCTCAGAAATTCTATTTCCCCCAAATCAAAGCAGCAACCTCGGCAGAGAAGAGGCCAAAGACTCCACGTGCATGGACGGGCTCTTTTGATCACCAGGCTGGCAGTTCACGAAGCTGCTTGTTCTTTCACGTTGGGTTGGCTGCTCGGAGGAGGAAAAGCCAGTTGGCTGCAGGTGCGAATACAGCCAGAGTCCGCCTGACGCTTGCCGGGCTCCCTTGGCCCCGCAGCTCAGGATCTGCCCTCCCCACAGCCTCCTCCTGCCACCGGTCAGCAAAACAGCACAGCGGGTGGGAGG